TACAACTTCACTATAATTGGGCAAAGAGGGACGCTTCTGTGGCATGGACACATCAACTGGCTCAGGGCAACAGTGCATGGAGCCATAGTTATACTGCCAAAGCGTGGGGTGCCTTATCCCTTCCCAAAACCAGATGATGAAAAGGTTTTGGTGTTAGGAGAATGGTGGAAATCTGATACTGAGGCTGTCATCAATGAAGCTATGAAGTCAGGAGTGGCTCCAAATGTCTCTGACGCTCACACCATCAATGGCCTTCCAGGCACTGTTGCCAATTGTTCTACCCAAGGTACTCTAAACTACTACTTCAATGTATTCTCATTTAATGTTCAAATTCTAGATGTTTAAATGTTTTACACAGCTTTTCAAAAAATGATCGAGAAGCCACGCTTGGAAGCTCGTAGACTGAATTATAACCAAAGGACTAAATGCTTACAAGATGTTTTTGTTTTGTGGATTTGTATATATGCAGAAGTATTCAACTTGGGGGTAGAAAGTGGGAAGACATATTTGTTAAGGATCATCAATGCTGCACTCAATGAGGAACTCTTTTTCAAGATCGCCGGCCACAACGTCACCGTCGTGGAAGTTGACGCCACCTACGTCAAGCCGTTCACCACCGACACCATCATCATTGCTCCGGGCCAAACCACCAACGTCCTCCTAAACACACACCAGAAATCTGGAAAATACTTAATCGCAGCTTCTACTTTCATGGACGCTCCTGTAACTATAGATAACCAAACAGCCACAGCCACACTTCACTACACAGGCGGCACCACCACTCTCTCCGACGACTCCCCGATGGTTCTCACCACCACTCCTCCCAAAAATGCCACTCAAATAGCCGATCAGTTCATCAACTCTCTCAAAAGCCTGAATTCCCCAAAATACCCAGCAAAAGTTCCACTGGAAATTGACCATTCACTGTTCTTCACGGTGGGCTTAGGGGTCAACCCTTGCCCTACCTGTAAAGCAGGGAATGGAAGTAGGGTTGTGGCGGCCGTGAATAACGTGACATTTGTGATGCCAAACACGGCCTTGCTTCAGGCTCATTATTACAACATCAAGGGCGTATTTACCACAGATTTTCCTGCCAATCCACCTCATGTGTATAACTATACTGCGAACATAACTAAGAATATACAGACCCAGAATGGGACAAAGCTTTATAGGGTACCCTACAATTCGACGATTCAGGTGGTGTTACAGGACACAGGCGTGATCGCACCTGAGAGCCATCCGATTCATCTTCACGGGTTCAATTTCTTTGTGGTGGGGAGAGGAGTAGGGAATTATGACCCCAAGGAAGATCCCAAGAAATTTAACCTTGAAGATCCTGTGGAGAGAAACACAATTGGAGTGCCTACTGGTGGCTGGACTGCTCTTAGGTTCACAGCAGATAATCCAGGTTATTAATTAAACTCAAATCTCTTCTGGGTTATATTCAATTTTCAGGATTAACTATTTTTAATCCCATGTGTTTGATTAATATAACAGGAGTCTGGTTCTTGCACTGCCATTTTGAGGCGCACACGACATGGGGATTAAAGATGGCATTTCTGGTGGATAATGGGAAAGGACCTAAACAGTCATTGGTTCCACCACCCAAAGATCTTCCAAAATGCTGATCTGATCTCTATATGTACATTTGACTTCACTTGATTAATCACATTGTCATCTACAAATCCAAGAGAAGGCTCCCTAATTCAGAAATGACGATGTGAGAGATCATATGAAGATCAGGAAGAGGCAAAAAGGAGAGTGAATTGAGAAGATGAGTTGTTTTAATTGTTTTAATAAGCAAACATTGCAGTTGCTTTCCACTTTCTTTTTTCTTTTGGGTGAGTTAGGAATGGGATAATTTCTTGAAGAAACGATGAAGAATAAATTTGAGTTGAAAGAGTGGAGAATAATTAATTTGGTTGCTTTTGTATACAGTTTTTTTTTTTTTTTTTTACAATTTTATCTGGGAAAATATACATTTGTATCATCATCCTCAACAAAAATGTATCATTTCCTTGTTTAATGAAATCCATATGTTTCTTTTTATATTATTACTGCATGCTGATCAATTTAATTAAGTGATTTTCACTCTCTCTTTCACCCACACACAGGTGCACGATTCTTTATGTTTAAGCAGGAAGTTACGTAGCAGTAGGGCAACCCTCTTACATCAATTTAGTTGGGTTGCTTTAGTTCTAAGGACATGCAATTTTTCTTTAAAAAAAATCTGAAGGACATGTATAATATATATCAACGTATTTATAGTAAGCTATCATCTTTGTAAGACACGAATACCATACTATAACTCATTTTTTACACACACATATCTTGTGTAATTAATGTATGGAAAACACGGCGGCTAACTTCTTGTTTTTTTTTTAATAGAAACGTAATAATCTGTTATAACTTCAAGTTTCATCTTTCGGATCCTTTCCAGTTTTATTCTATCTTCAAGTTTTCAGTCAAAGCCGCCACACTGACATCAATTTTATAATCACAAACAGTCTACCTTGGATGATTAATCTCTTGATTAATGATTTCTACAATGAATACTAACTCGGCATTTAATATAAGAGCTAGTTGAAGACTAAATTTGATTCTAAATATAAGATCTCAATTCACTTTATCATTCCAAATTTGTAATTTATTTTCTAAAGTATTTTATTGATTACACATGTTAAGGAGTTGCCTTCCAATGATAGTCATGATTAAAAAAGGGTACTTTAGGAAAATCAACTCATATTTGTTACAAATAATTAATTTAACTAATTTGCTTAATCTACTCAAATTAGTTAAGTAGACCGAAGATAACATAATCTTTCAAGTTAATTTCTCTCTCTTGTGTGGTTTATTTCCATAACCTTTGCATTAAGCTGTATGAGATAAGCATATAAAAAGAGTTTTGTCTCACTTGCATAAAAGCTTTTTTTTTTTTTAATTTGATCCATGTTCACATTCACGAATCAGTGAACACCATATAGGCAGGGTTCCTTTTTGGGTTGTGCTTTTGGTAATTGGGCTCCGTTTCAAGTATTTCTGAAAATCAAATTCCTCTTTTGGGGCCCGGCCTTTAGCCCAAATTCATAGTCCAGCAAGTATTTTTTTTGAGGCCTTTCATTCTGCCATAACATTTTACTTAAAAAACAGTTGAACCAAAAGTATGATCCGCTTGGCTTGGTTGATAAGGAGATTACTTAGAATTGGTAAGATTGTGAATTTAAACCTCACTCTAAACTTTTGGAGCTTGAAGACATATTAGGTCTTGGCGGTCTTTCGAATCCAACTTGTCTAAGAGGGTGTTTGGCAATTCTCAAAAGTGTTTCTCAGAAGGACTTTTCTGTAAAACGAGACAAACTCCTCCACATATTTATTTCATAAACTGTAAAAGCACTTCTGAAACCATGATTTGATTTTCATTCAAACACCTCCTAAATTTTTTTTGTATAAAAAAATGGTTCACTCAAAAATTTAATAATTGATGTCTAGAAATGTGTGGTGTGCACACTTGCACCAAGCATAGGGACCTAAATAATAAATGATACTCCTCCGGTCCTAATTATAAGACCCAATTGACTTATTTGAGGAGATTAAGGAAGTAAGTTAAGTTGGTTATTTATAATAAATAAGTGTTGTTATTCCTAAAATATCCTTACTAATTAAGTATATTGGTTAAAACTATCATTATTAGAAGGATTATTTTGGAAAAAAATGCATAAATATAAGAGACAAAATGGATTGGGTCTTATAATTAGGATCAAATAAAAAGTCAAATTGAGTCTTATAATAAGGACCGGAGGAGTATTTAAAGATGCTTTTTTGAGAAGGACAACAAAAAGTTTATAAATGCCAATTATTTATCATATTAATTAAAACAAAATCAAACTACTTTCACAAAACAGACAAGTTTTTATCCTCAACATTTAATGGGACACAGGAAAGAAGACGAAAGGCCCTCCTCTGTGGTCTGAAATATGCTCTGTGATTGGCCCAACGGGAATTAAATATTTAGCTTTGGCCATATAATTGAGGCAACTCGCAATATTGAATCCGAAATTTCCATAAATTGCTAACAGGGAATCTTTCTAGATTTGGAAATATTAGTTTTGCTTAGTTGTCAATGACTCATTGGTTTTAAATTTAATTTCTTTATTTTTAAAAAAATTGATGATACATTTCTTATCACCTACACTTCTTGGAGCTTAAAAAAAATCACTCCTTAATTCTCTCTCTCTCTCTGAGTCAACAGATCAAGAAAATAGTAAACCATGAAATACTTTTTAATAAATCAGATTGATGATTTCATGAATCTTAATAAAGTTTTTACTATACAATTTATTGTAAATTTTTAGGAAAAAGCGAGGGAAATGAGAAAAATAAATGTCTCCGAGTCATTTTTTAAAGGAAAAAATTACAAACAAAGACCGCCAAATATGTAAAATTGAAATTTAGAATCCTAAATTTGGAAAATAGTACATAAAGACCCAATCCCACTTTTGCATATATGAAATATTAGTAAAATATCTGAAATATCCTTTAGTCAAATGACAAGTTGACGATGAGAAATGATAAGTTCACTTTAACGAGTGACAACTTCAGTAGACCAGATCACAACTTAATTGAGAGTATGCCAAATGACGAGTTGATTACGGAAAATGACAAGTTCACTTTAGCGAATGAAAATTTCAGTAGACCAAATCACAATTTGGATGAGGGATATTTTAGACATTTCACCCACATTTCATATTTGTAAAAGTAAAATCGGGTTCTTATTCGCTATTTTCCAAATTTAGGATCCTAAATCAAAATTTTACATATTTGAGGGTATTTATTTGTAATTCCCCCTTTTTTAAATAGAAAAAGAGCTGGAACAACAGAGAATATTCTGTCCCTTTCATTCTCTCTCTCGTCTCTCTCTCTTGCCTCATCTCTCTTTCCTCCCTCCTTCCTTCCCGCTCTTCTTTAGTCGCCGGCCCACGAAGTCACGAACACCCTCTCCACCAATCACAACTCAGTGCCTTTGACCTATCTTTCTCTGTCCGGTCGTCCTTTTTTCAGTAGTCGATCGTTGTCTCACGAGCAGTACAAAGAGCCGACACATTTCTGAAGTTTGCTCATGGTACTTCCTGCTTATTTCTGATGGATTCTCTGAGCTTCATTGCTGTTCCAAATTTCTCTCTCATTTTCTTCAATCCAGAACCCCTCTATTCTACCAGTTCCAATTATTGACTATCACTGTCTAAGCCTCAAACATTGCTATTCTCTGCTCATTTTCGGTGTGGGTTTTGGCTTTTCCCATTGTAGATCTAAGCACGTTTGGGGTTTATGCTTCCACCATTGACTTGTTGATTTGGGAATTTTTTTCCCTTGGGTTTTGGGAAGAAAGCCTGTTCTAGATTCCCAGGTTTTGTGGGTACGTGAAAAGGGCAGCAGATTCCCTTCCAATTTGCATATTGGTTAAATTAAATGCTTTCTTTGGCCATATGAAGCCTCTCCAGAGCCCTTCTGCATTTCTTACTCTCTCAGCCTTCTCTCTCTTTGGATTTTCATCAAAGAGAGAGAGTGTATTTCTCTAACATCCGCTTTGGCATGCTTTCTTGCTGCTGCTTAGAATATATCTAGAACAATGAACAGGGGAATTGAAGTACTCTCTCCAGCCTCCTACCTCCAGAACTCTAATTGGCTGCTCCAGGAAGGCAAAGGAACTAGATGGACTCCAGAAGAGAACAAGCGATTTGAGAACGCTTTGGCTCTGTATGATAAGGATACATCAGATCGTTGGCTGAACGTGGCAGCCATGATTCCAGGCAAGACTGTGGCTGATGTGATCAAACAGTACAGAGAACTGGAAGAAGATGTGAGTGTCATTGAGGCAGGGCTGTTCCCAATCCCTGGGTACAGTAATAGTTCTTTCACATTAGAGTGGGTCAATGGCCAAGGCTTTGACGGGTTCAACCAATTTTATACTTCTGGTGGAAAAAGGGGTACCCCAACTAGGCCTTCTGAGCAGGAAAGGAAGAAAGGAGTTCCATGGACTGAAGAGGAGCACAGGTATAAATCGATTAACGTCAATAAGTTTGCTTGATTATTTTGTGTGTATGTGTGTGTATGTTGCCTCAAAGGTGGTCGCCCAAATTTAGATCATTCTTAAGAATCCATGATTAGCTAGGATGTTGATGAAACAGAAAGTTTGAGAAGTCGAGATGCTTGTGAATTGGTTTTGCATCGATTGGCTCTTCGGTTTGAGCGTTTAGTTGCAATCCATGGTAATTACATGTTTGGCCCTTGCATTTTCTTATTGGTTTTCAGTTCCCGTGAATAGTTTTGAGGATCAAACTGTGTTAACTTAAGGTTTCAATTGGTAAGTGAGCATTCATGATTAGTTTTACTGGAATTTAATAGCAGGGACATCTTTCAGTGAATTAGCTAACTGTTGCAGGCAATTTCTGATGGGGCTCAAGAAGTATGGCAAAGGGGACTGGAGAAACATCTCTCGCAATTTTGTGACCACAAGGACGCCGACTCAGGTTGCGAGTCATGCTCAGAAGTATTTCATCAGGCAGCTTACTGGGGGGAAAGATAAGAGGAGATCCAGTATCCATGATATCACAATGGTCAATCTCCAAGAAACTAAATCTCCTTTGTCAGATAGTATTAGACCTGCTTCTTCAAATCATCCTACAAAGGTTGTAAATCCACACCAGAATCAGAAATTAGTCGGCATGGTTAAACAGGAGTATGACTTGCCTACGGTTTTCAATCCCACAAATGGAAACGTGTTATTGGCACCAATTTATGGGATTTCTTCTCGCGGATCGAAACCACAGGAGCAGTGTATTCTCAAAGGCACTCTTCATGGATTTGACCATGGACCTTATGATACTATTCTTCAAATGCAATCAATGCAGCATCAGTGAACTATGCATGTAATGGAGGGTTTAGTGAAAGTCCTGGAGGTGTTAAAACACGACCCTTTTCGGTGATGCTGCATTAATTTCTTCAGATGCTTCATGGTGTTTTATGTGTATATGTTGAGGAGGACTCGGGATTAGACCTTAGTGATTAGACTCTGAAGATATCAGTACATATTGTATTCCTGTATCGAAACTCCATGACTAGAACTAGACAACCAAGCATCCGGGGAAGTTATTTTAATTAATCCGTGAAGCTTGAAGTTGTGTAATATGACTTTCTGATTACTGTTATGGTATTGTAGTTTTGATGAGACTTTCTGGTGAGCAAAGATCTGTTGTGTAACTTTCTGTCCCAGAAGAACCAAAGTTGTCTGCAGAATGTCCCTTGGAAGAGAAGAAGAGTTACCTTTCTCTTCATTGTCCCAGGGGCTTAAAATAAATAATAAAATAGTTCCAGCCCTCACATGAATGAAAGCACAAACTTTGATGCATGATTATATTATAAGGGGATTTAATTAAACCTTTTTGAAGAACGATTACGCCAGCTAGGAAAGCTTTTTTCACATGTGAAACAGTTAGTGTTAATTACTACTGTGTCAAAAGATCTGATTGGTGATTAGCCTAGGGTAGATAGTACTAGGTTCAACTTCGTTTGTTGAAAAGAAAATTGCTTCGTCATGAAGCACAAAACAACAGTTTCTTGGAACTCCTACTTCTCATAACGGGTAGACATCAAGATCAATGCTGAAAATCCGCGAACCTACAATCAGTCGTTGATTTGTGTGCTGCCCATTATCAAGTCTGGCAGTTTTATTTTCTATTTCTTTATTTTTAGTTATCTTCCATTGGGCTGGCCACAAAATGTGGACCATCCAAATTTTATCTTGAGGGTCTAAATGTGACCTGCATCTGAAAACTCTATACTAGTAATTTTTCAGGTGACTTGATATATAATCTATCAATGTAAATTAGATTAGTTGTGTGTGTGTATAAATAAAACAAACATAAGTATGTGAGTGTAGTTTGGTTTGCTTGACATGAAATGCATTTTGTAAACAAGTTGGAGAATCAATAATCATTAATTATCGATGTAGCTCATTTAAAGTGGAATCCTAACATGCGGATGATCAATGATCACTCCCTGTCATTAGAGATAATGATCATCGTGAGCGCGTGCGCACACACATATATATTTATTATGGACTTGTTTAGATTAGCTTATAAATAGGTTTTCAACCGTGATTTAAGAAATACGAAGTAAGTATGTGAAGAGAGTTTTGGTTCAACTTACATAAAACATACTCATAAATGCATTTGAACGCTGTTACAGACATATTGACAAGGTCAACTTTATTTGCTGTCCATGAGAGTTACATGACTGCCCTTTAACAAGTTTTCGCTCTTGTTTCTCTTTTGCTTTTCAGACTTCTCTTTACCCAGCACCTTCTTAATTTCCTTTCTATTGTACTTTTAAATACTCTTTTTGAAAGGAAAAAAACTCGAAAATTATAGAGTCATATACTACACTTAAGCCTACGTGTAATTAAAAATAAGATAAACAATCACAACTTAGCTTGGACCAAATTAAAAAAAATGATGGAAATTGGTAAGTGGAAGCAGCTTATGTGGACACTCAATGGTTGGGTGAGTCACATTGCATTTGTTCATACAGCGACGCTGTCTTCTTCCTCTGGCTCTGACTGTGTCCACTAAAGGTTAAGGAAAGAAGCCAATGGAGGTGGGCTAGCGATAGTGAAGAAGCTGAGGTTGATGACAGGCATGGAATCTTGACCCTTCATCTCTGTATGGGCCATCAATTGCAGAATCTCATGCTCCACTTTCTCCTCTTTCTTCCTCTCACACCTAAGCATCTCAATCTATTCTCTCCTTTTGTTTTCCTCCTCCCTTTCCACAGGCCCATGCTTTTTTGGCATGGACTCTAAAGCAGGCCGCTCTGTTTTTCTTGCTTATGATATACGAATAACCTACATTTTATATTATACCATACTCCTCTTGATTTTAAATATAAAAGTTAGTAAAGAAATTTGTCTTGATTCTAAGTATGTAAGATTTCAATTCATGGTTGCATAAAAAAATTATAAATATGGAATTATTTGAATAAAAAAATTACAAGAACTAAATTATTTTGAATTAATAAATTATAGAGACTGAATTACATACTTCAAGTTAGTGGATACTTGATGCTAGTGATGTCCATCTACGTGGTTGCATATCTTTCATCCATATATAATAATAAATTAGTTTGTAGCACAAGTAATTTAGACGGTGATAGAAAACGATACCCAACATAAATATCTTCTAAAATAATAATATGGATGAAGTAAAGAGGGAGAGGAGAGCCGTTGCTCAAGACTTCTAAAATAATAATATATTTTTTAATTTGGTCCTTAATTATTTATTCTCTATCATTGATCATATTCTCTTTTATCATTTTTCTCATTTACTATAAGAACATATTTGAAAATAAAACTATATTTCTAACTTATTTATTACTTTTAACTGATTTTAATTAACGATTCATTATTTGTAAATTAGTTATTTGAATTTTGTAATAAAGACCGGATGGAGTAATTTGACTCTTTTTCCTTCTCTCTCTTGACATACGTTTAAAGTAAGATTATACTTTAGTGACTTCATTGTCGAGGTGGAATAATGTCATGTTCTCCATTGATAGCTAAAACGAAATTTGAATATGTGTGTCTATCCTGTTGGCACTACAACAACAAATAAAAATTTAGAATAAATATATAAATATCGTATATATTTAATCCTCTAACGCATGCATAATTGACAAATTAAACACATGGACACGGACCATTGGAGAAACAATTATTCTTCTACAACGAAACCTTTTGGATTAAAGTTAAGGGTTGACTAATTAAGTAATTCTCAGGAGATTTGTTCTCTATTTTGACGATGTGGGCTCGAACTCAAGCTAGGGCTAACAATATAAAATTGATGTGTGTATATATGTGTGTGTGTGTGTGTGTGTACGTATATGGCATGTCAACGCTTGCCTCTCACTTCTATTTATTAATCTAAACTTGATCGATTAACTTCGTAGTTTTTTGGGGCCATCCACTTGTCCTATTATTTGTGACCTCACTTTAAAAAAATACATGGATATAATTGAGAATAATTGTTTATTGTATATTGTTTGCTGTGTATATTTTTATAATGTCATCCTTGTCATTTCCCAGAATTATTCTTTTGTAGAAGGCTTAATCTAATTATCTTAAAACTTATTAAGTACCTCTCAACTACAAAAGATGGGTCTTGAATAGTAAAGAAATGCAAAGATATATGCTGCCAAGATTTTGTACTAGTAGAAAGTTGAGATTAACGAGCACATAACATAAAGTTCACATAAAGAGAATTAAAGATATATTACCTCTGCTCCTATTTATAAGAATTCATTTATAAACTATAAATGAGGTTTTATAATTAGGACCGGAGGTAGTATATAACACATATACATAATATGAAAAAAATTAAAAACTCTTGAGAAGTCATGACCTCCACTAATCATCCCTCCCTTCATCACCACCACAGGTCACTTTCATGATTTACATCTGAATTGAACAGAATAATCCTCCCTTCATTTTTTTTTAATATTAGGAGATAGATAATTAATTTACATATAAAAATGTGTACTGATTTTTTCTAATACATTCTTTTTATAATTATTTGTATTGACACTGCTCATTAATGAAAATATTTTTAACATATGCAATGAACATAAATACTTTGAGAAAAACTTATCAATTATCAATATAAGTAATAAATATATTTATTTAAAATCAAATATACAAATTTTCAATTAATTCTTACGTTAAGGATCATAAAAATAGTCTATATCGTATAAGTAGGGGAAGAAACTTTTCAAACAACACGTGAGAAACGAGTCTATTGTCCACCAAGTTTGTCCCTCAGCCTCAGGTTGGTTTTCGTCGTCACTGTAAGAAGGAACAGACAACAATCACGTCATGCTTCTTCTCAAATTCCAATGTCCACACATTCGTCATCGTCTTGGAACCTTGTGCGTTTCAATGGAGGAAGCATATTATTAATTAGTGGACTTTGTGCACATAATTACTTAGTACTTATCTTATCTCTTCACTGTTATTGATCGATCAGAAAGTGATATATACTTCCTTCAAAGAAAACGTTGACAACGCATATGTAACATGTCTGGTCCAGGTTGAAAATCCTACGCATCAAATTGCAGATCACTCAGACTAATTCTTAGAAGAATAATGTTACATTAATCGAATCAAATTCCTGAATATTCATTCAGGTTTTGAAAAAAAAGAAGAAGGTAATAATCCCTTCACAATATAAGCGACAAGTGTGTGTCATATTACGCGCATGCAACGTCATGACATGTTTAGAATCCCTGGTCGATTGATCTTACCTACTGTTTATAATAACTAGATAACTAATTTAAAGAGATTAAAAAAAATTATTTGAGTTAATTATTTATAACAAATTAAATATGTGTTAATTTTTTTGAATTACTTTTATTCAGTTATATATATTGAAACTGTTTTGTGTGGAGACACTTTACAATCAACAAGGATATATTGGATAACACATTATAAATTTGAGAAACAAAATAAATTAGAATCTTATAGCTATGATCAAATTTAATCCTCAATTGGCTTTTATTTAGGAAAGGAGGTGGTATATATCACGTTCATAGAATATATTATTGTGTAATCTTTGGCATTGAATCCATTCAACTAAATTAACTGCTTCCATTTTTATTATAGTCTCTGTGCAGTCCATATCAGTTCAATTACTTTAAATTTGTTCTCGAAACCTTTTTCCCATATATATGGAGGAGAAATGACATTCTTATTCTCAATAATTATATAAATTTAATTCGCAACAATAGAAGAATGAGTTCGTTATCCTCCTGTCTGTATGTATACTCCCCATTTTCTTAAATTATTGTTGTGTTAATAAGAAAAAAAGGTACTCCTCCGGTCCTAATTATAAGACCCAATTGACTTATTTGAGGAGATTAAGGAAGTAAGTTAAGTTGGTTATTTATAATAAATAAGTGTTGTCATTCCTAAAATATCCTTGCTAATTAAGTATATTGGCTAAAACTATCATTATTAGAAGGATTATCTTGAAAAAAAAATACATAAATATAAGAGATAAAATGGATTGGGGTCTTATAATTAGGACCAAATAAAAAGTCAAATGGGGTCTTATAATAAGGACCGGAGGAGTATAATTTTTGAAGTACCTAATTCTGATACGACTTAAATGAACAAAGACGAACTAATTCTCAAATAATGTTAGTTGCAATAACTCAAATTTTAGAGTTGCTTATCATAACTATGTTTACGTAAATTAAAATAAAACTTATCTCACATACTTACTTCATATAGCATAAATTATAATTGAAAAATTGCTTTTAAATGT